TAAACGACCCAGCTTATTACAGCACCACTAAATATGGCTATGCCAGCGGCGGCGCGCCCGTGGTTTTTGTTGAAACGGTGCGCAGTTATCAGCGTATATTAGAGCGTATTCAGCCAAGTTTTGAGGTGGGCGATTACACCAAAATGGCTCAAATTGACACAGAATTTAAATAAATAAAGACAGCAAAAATCGCCAGAGAGATTTTTATGCCTCTGCAAGCCGCATGGATATTGGCTTACAGAGGTGCTGTTAGGAAGACTGCTATTTGGGCTCGATTTTTTCAAGATTATTCATGTATGGGCGCAGCACTTTTGGCACGGTGACGCTACCATCCGCATTTTGATAATTCTCAAGCACAGCCACTAAAGTACGCCCCACTGCCAAGCCTGAACCATTCAATGTATGCACAAGTTCTGGTTTGCCTTGCTCGTTTCTAAAACGTGCTTGCAAACGGCGCGCTTGAAATGCCTCACAATTGCTCACTGATGAAATTTCACGATAAGTGTTTTGCGCTGGCAGCCACACTTCTAAGTCATAGGTTTTAGCTGCGCCAAAACCCATATCACCCGTGCAAAGTGAAACGACGCGATAAGGCAACTCTAAGGCTTTGAGGATATTTTCCGCATGCCCGACCATTTCTTCCAACGCTTCATAACTTTTGTTGGGGTGTACAATTTGTACCATTTCCACTTTATCAAACTGGTGCTGGCGTATCATGCCTTTGGTATCGCGCCCGTAACTGCCCGCCTCGCTTCTAAAGCATGGCGTATGCGCGGTCAACTTAATCGGCAGAGTTTCTAACGGCACAATTTCATCGCGCACGGTGTTGGTGAGGGTTACTTCTGAGGTGGGGATTAGATATAACTTTCTTGGAGAAATTAATAACTCTCCAGATTTCTCCTTTTGTACAATTATACCAAATGATCTACTCCATTCTGCATCCATATTTTCTGGGACTTTAATATTTGCATGAATGCCAAATAAATCCTCTTCAAACTTTGGTAGCTGACCTGTGCCAATAAGTGTCTCAGCATTCACCAAATATGGCGTGTAGCATTCCTCGTAGCCATGCTTCTCAGTTTGCGTATCCAACATAAACTGCGCCAAAGCACGGTGCATTTTTGCAATTTGGCCGCGCATCAAGGTAAAGCGTGCACCTGAAAGCTTAGCGCCAGTATCAAAATCTAAACCGAGTGGCGTGCCAACATCAGTATGGTCTTTAATCTCAAAGTCAAAATTGCGTGGCGTGCCCACTTTGCGCACTTCTACATTTTGCGTTTCATCTTTGCCTGATGGCACGCTGACGTGAGGCAAATTGGGCACGTTCAGCAACAAGTTTTGTAATTCTGTTTGTAGCTCACTCAAGCGCGCTTCATCGGTTTTTAGCTGGTCACCCAAGCCCGCGACTTCTGCCATAATTGCGCTCACATCTTCGCCTTTGGCTTTTGCCATACCGATTTGTTTTGAGGCATTATTGCGTTTAGCCTGTAAATCTTGCGTGCGTGTTTGCACGGTTTTGCGTTCGACTTCTAATGCGCTAAATTTAGCGACGGGGAAATCAAATCCACGCGCTTTTAACTGGCTTACAACGCCATCTAAATCTTTTCTTAACTCTTGAATATCTAACATATTATTTCTTTGCTTTGCTGTTTAAATGTTGTTGGTCTAGCGTTTTTAAGTGCTGCAATTTTTCCGTAATTTTACCTTCTAAGCCGCGCGGTGTGGGCATATAAAATTGCGGCACGGCATTTTTATCATGCAACTCATCGGGGAAATAATGCACTCCGGCCGCATAAGCTTCTGGCTCATTGTGCGCATAGCGGTATTCTTTGCCGTAATCTAGCGCTTTCATCAGCTTGGTCGGCGCATTTCTTAAATGCAAGGGTACGGGGCGAGATTTGTCTTGCGCCACAAACGCCTTGGCTTGATTATAAGCCATGTAAGAAGCATTGCTTTTAGGCGCAACGGCTAAATAAATCACCGCATTGCTCAATGCCAACTCGCCCTCAGGTGAGCCTAAACGCTCGTAAATTTGGCAGGCCTCTAAGCAAACGCCTTGCGCGCGCGGGTCGGCCAAGCCTATGTCTTCAATGGCCATGCGCACAATGCGACGGCCTAAATACAGCGGATCTGCGCCACCATCAATCATGCGTAAAAACCAATACAAAGCCGCATCTGGGTTAGAGCCCCGCACTGATTTATGCAGCGCAGAAATTTGATCATAAAACGCTTCGCCCCCTTTATCAAAACGGCGTAGCTTTTCAGCCATCGTGGTTTGCAAAAAGGCTTCGTCTATGTGCGTAATGCCTGCACTAGTAGCGGTGTTAAATAAACTTTCAGCAAAGTTAAGTAAGCGTCTTGCATCGCCATCTGCATAGGCCAACACTTGCTCGCGCACGGTATCATCAATGGTAATATTCGGCGCAACCAAAGCGTTAGCACGTTCTAAAAGTTGGTTAAGTTCGGGCTCTTTTAAGGCTTGCAGCACAAATACTTGCGCACGGCTGAGCAATGCACTGTTGACTTCAAACGATGGATTTTCAGTGGTCGCGCCAATAAACGTAATGAGGCCACTTTCAACAAAGGGCAAAAATGCATCTTGCTGGCCTTTATTAAAACGGTGCACTTCATCAACAAACAAAATGGTTTTGCGCCCATGTTGCTGCAAGATGAGCTCGGCGCGTTCTACCGCTTCACGAATATCTTTAATGCCAGATAGCACCGCAGAAATCGGGATAAATTCAGCATCGGCGGTATTAGCTATAAGCCTTGCCAAGGTGGTTTTACCCACGCCCGGTGGCCCCCACAAAATCATAGAAGGTAATTTACCTGATTGAAAAGCTAAGCGCAGCGGTTTGTTGGGGCCGAGCAAATGCATTTGACCAACTACCTCATCAAGCGATTTTGGGCGCAGCTGCTCCGCTAGCGGGGCAACTGGTGAGTTGGCTTGAAATAAGTTATTCAAAATATTTATTTTGTCGACTTATTCGCCGACGACGTCAACGCCTTTTGGTGGCGTAAATTGAAAAGCAGCATTTTTAAGCGTTGGGTTGCGCTCAACCACATTAAAACTAATGTAAGTGATATGGTTAAAGCTATCGTGTAGTTCCATTTTTTGCAGTTGGTTTTGTTTAAAGCCTAAAAAAACCGTGTCAAAACCGCTGTCTTTTTCTTTCGGTAGCACTTTTACCCATGCCAAATCATCTGTGCGCGTTTCATTGCTCAAGGTAAAATTTTCTTCTACCGCACTTCCGCCAGCCAACAATGAAGCTGGGCTTGCACCAAATGTTTTACCAAATGCCCGTACGGTCACTTGCTGTAAATCAACATCATATAAAAAAACCTGTTTACCATCGCTGACAATTTGTTGTTCGTACGGTTTTTTGTATTCCCAGCGGAACTTATTTGGGCGTTGCAATTGCATCGTGCCTTGCACTTCTTGCATTTTACGGCCTTGGGCATCGTTCACCACTTGGCTAAATTGCGCGCGCATGGCGTTGGTTTTGCTATAAAAATCGCGCAAACTTGAAACACCATCGGCCAATGCCGCTTGGCTAAAAATTGCTAACGCTATTAATAAATATTTTTTCATTTTATCCTTCATTACTCTTCTGAAGCACCGCTTTTTACCAGCACTTCACGGTTACCATTGCTTTGCATGGCTGATACCAAGCCAGCACGCTCCATGTCTTCTATCAAGCGTGCGGCGCGGTTGTAGCCGATACGCAATTGTCGCTGCACGGCAGAAATACTCGCACGGCGCGTTTTAAGCACAATGGCTACCGCTTCGTCGTATAGCGGGTCAGCTTCAGCGCCGCTAGCAGCACTAAGGCCGCCTGCAAAATCGCCACCACCCTCTTCTGCCTCGTTGCTTAAGATACCCTCAATATAATTTGGTTCACCTTGCGCTTTTAAGTAATCTACTACTTTGTGTACTTCACGGTCTGAAACAAACGCACCGTGAATGCGCAATGGATAACCCGTACCCGGCAGAGATTTGCCCCGAGCTTTTCTATCATCATCACCCAAAACCAGCCAGTAAATAGGCTAAAGCCGACCATAAATAAGCCAATGAGCAACATGGTGGAGCCGACAAACCCCAGCATTGCGCGCAAGCCAGCATCTACAGCCGAACCTATCATACCGCCAGCTTTATCTGGCAGTTGAGCGGGCAAACTCACCAAATGCCCTGACTCTAGCGCGCTAGATGCCACTAGCAATATGGCAAAACCGATAAAATTAAAGAGCAAAAAAGGTTTTTCATGCTGATTTACGGTATCTAATTTCAGATACACCAGCCACATGGCATAAAACGCTAATATTGCCCACCACCATGCAGAAAAGCCAAATAAATACAACAACATATCAGACATCCAAGCACCAAAACTTCCGCCGCTGTTGTGGATAATTGCTTCATCTGCCGCTTGGTGCGACCATGATGGATCTTCAGGATGATAGGTGAACAAAATCACCGTAATAAAAAGCCCTGCCAGCACCAACACTAGCCACCAAGCTTCTTTAATGAGCGATTTGCCAATCATTTGAGATTGTGTGATTTCAGGCGTTATTCGCGCATTTTTAGGGGTCGATTTTTTAAAAATCAAGATAGTAAAACCTTACTTATTTAACCAAAGTGAAATTATAACAGTATCAAACTGGCTGAGTAATCTATCCGCTCAGTTGTACCATAATGTTTACCGTTTAATAAGAACTTTATTCTGCTTTTTGTTAGCTAACTTTAGCAAGTTAAAGTGCATACTAAACATCAAAAAATTGTGCCATTTTATGCCCGAGGATTTTTTATGCCTCTGCAAGCCTCATGGAGACTGGCTTACAGAGGTGCACTCATGATTTGCACCTAAATACGCGCTTAAAAACCACTTTTTTACATCATTTTAAACTAGGTTAAAAAATTGCACTTTGCTAGCTTATTTATGATATATAAAACTTATCAAAACTATATAAACAATCAATTATTCATGGTCAATGAATTAAGCTAGAATGAACCTGTCAACTATATGATTGACACTCAAAAGGAGAACATCATGGACATAGGCATTAACAAAAAAGACCGACAATTAGTGGCTGAGGGCTTGTCTCATTTACTGGCAGACAGCTATACGCTTTATCTTAAAACGCACTACTTTCACTGGAACGTGACTGGCCCAATGTTTAACACCTTGCATTTAATGTTTGAGGCGCAATATAACGAGCTTGCACTGGCGGTGGATTTAATTGCAGAACGCATACGCGCGCTTGATTTTTACGCGCCTGGCACTTATAGCGACTTTGCTAAACTGACTAGCATTAAAGAAAGTGAAAGCGTACCCAAAGCTAACGACATGATTGCAGAATTAGTAGCTGGACATGAGGCAGTTTGCCGCACCGCAAGAAAAGTTTTTCCTACAGTTGAAAAGGCCGCTGATGAAGCTACGGCAGATTTTCTCACACAACGTTTGCAATTACATGAAAAAACAGCATGGATGTTGCGCAGTTTGTTGGAAAAGTAATCTGCAAAAAGCCCGAATGAAATATAATGTCGCTCATTAATTTTTAAAACTGAATTGGATAATTAAATGGCAACAAAACATGTGAAATTGCTTATTTTAGGCTCAGGCCCTGCAGGCTACTCGGCAGCGGTTTATGCAGCCAGAGCCAACTTAAACCCTGTGCTCATTACCGGCATTGCGCAAGGCGGCCAATTGATGACCACCACAGAAGTGGATAACTGGCCTGCGGATGCCAACGGCGTGCAAGGCCCAGAGCTGATGGCGCGCTTTCAAAAACATGCTGAGCGTTTTAACACAGAAATGATTTTTGACCATATTCACACCTCGCATTTAAAAGAAAAACCGATTCGCCTTGTGGGTGATAGCGGAGAATACACTTGCGATGCACTGATTATTGCCACGGGCGCATCGGCTAAATATTTAGGCTTGCCAAGTGAAGAAAAATTTAATGGAAAAGGTGTTTCAGCCTGTGCCACTTGCGATGGTTTTTTCTATCGTAACCAAGAAGTTGCAGTGATTGGTGGCGGCAATACGGCGGTGGAAGAAGCACTTTACTTAGCCAATATCGCCAGCAAAGTGACGCTGGTACACCGCCGCGATAAATTTAAAGCCGAAGCGATCTTGGTGGATAAACTCATGGCGCGTGTGGCTGAGGGCAAAATTGTGCTTGAAACGCACCAAACACTTGATGAAGTATTGGGCGATGATTCTGGCGTCACTGGCATGCGCCTCACAAATGTTAACGATGGCAGCACCAAAGAAATTAAACTGATGGGCGTATTTATTGCGATTGGTCATTCGCCCAACACACAGATTTTTGCAGGCCAACTAGACATGGAAGGCGGTTATATCATTACGCAAATGGGTCGTGCGGGTAACGCCACGGCCACTAGCGTGCCAGGCGTATTTGCGGCAGGCGATGTGCAAGACCACATATACCGCCAAGCCATCACCAGCGCAGGTACAGGCTGCATGGCAGCGCTTGATGCTGAGCGCTATTTAGATAAATAACGATGTAGTAGGAGCGGCTTATAGCCGCTCCTACAAAAAACGGTGCTAAATCGTGACAAAACCTACTGACGAAAACGAAAAAAATCTGTTTTCTGAAGCAGTGAAAGACGCTCGCCCTTTGCCCGCAAGCAATCGTGCAACGCATCCCCACAAAAAACCCAAGCCGATTCCCAAGCAATTTATCCGCGATGAGCAACAAGCTCTACGCGACTCTTTAAGCGATAGTTACATTCCCGCCCACGAGTTAGAAACGGGCGAAGAATTGCTGTATTTGCGTGATGGACATTCGCCCGATATTTTACGCAAATTGCGCCACGCAAGTTTGAGTGATTTGGGCTTATAAATAGATTATTTTTAGTGATAATTTTGCACAACATCATTGCACATGCTCTGCAAGCCTTATTCTATGAGGCTGCCAGAGGTGTAAAAATCTCTCGGGCGATTTGGCACACACGTTTTTTTGCAGGCCAACTAGACATGGAAGGCGGTTATATCATTACGCAAATGGGTCGTGCGGGTAACGCCACGGCCACTAGCGTGCCAGGCGTATTTGCGGCAGGCGATCTGCAAGACCACATATACCG